GTAGAAAGAAAGGATCTGTGGCACTTCGATTTATTTTCACCACGGAGAAACTATCCCCACCTTCTTTCTCTAACAGTGCACTGTAAAGTGAGTGCTGAGATGACGGGGCTGTTAGGAAGCAGGTGCCAGCTCACCTGTTCTGAACCATGCTCATGGCCATCCAGTCTACAGGATACACATTTTTCCCAATGAGGTCCTTGAACATGATGAATGTCTCCATCAAGAAGTCCTGCAATAGTAAAGCAAAACACACCTGTCATTTTGCTTTATAGCAAATGACTGGAAGGGCCCAGATCTTGCTGGCTGTTGAAATTTTTTCTTTATTATTGTTTGGAGGTGCAGAAAGGGAAGGGGTACAGCCTGTTATTAAGTAAATCCAATGAAACCAATAGAGTGGATTTTTTAATGAAATCTTAACGATTTGTTACTGGGAGACTGTTTCACAAATATAAGTGGAACATGAATACGGAATGAGAAAACACTCTCAAAATAAAGGACTATTAATTCTGTCTTTGGGAGTAAAGGAGTAAGTGCGTTCATTGATGTGGCAGTTTTATAATCATCTTTCCAAATATGTATTTGAGGAGGAAATAATCTACACTATATGAATGCATCTCAGGTCATTGAGCAAACAAACTACTATTAAAATGAACATCTAATTACTGTACTGTAAACACAGCTAATTCATACGTCATAGGCACGTGAACAAGCAGCTTAGAGGAAACATGACAGGGATTCTCTCCCTCTCCTTTGAAGAGGTTCAAAGTGGACCTCAACATGCCCCATCGGATTTTTCAGTAGATCAAACTTGTTCTCTACCTTTGGAGAACACAAATTCAAGACAAATCTAGATAGCAAAGACCAGAACCACTGGCGCCCTCCTGAGCTAGAGGAAATGAAGGCATCCAGCCTATTTGCTTAAGGTAAAATTAAAATCCATAGGAAACCCGTTCAGAGCTCTTTCCTTAAGCCAGCGGTTTTCAGATTATTTTAAAGCAGAATTCTTTGTTCAGAGAAAATCTTACCTGGAACCTAATATATAAAGTAGATAAAAGTAGAAAACAGCTCTGGTTGAAGTGTGCGTGCGTGCATGCATGCGTGTGTGTGTGTGTGTGTGTGTGTGTGTGTGTGTGTTTATGGTAGAAGATAGTGAGGCTAGGAGAAATATAATTTGAAAATCACTGCTTTAAGCTAAATTGCAAAATTCTGGAAATGAGATTGGTTCCTTTCCAGCAATCATTGCTTCTAGGGAAAATTACCTCAATGCTTTAAGTCCCAGTTTCCGCATTAGCAGAATGGGGATAACATCTACCTCAAAGGGTTGATTAAGTGCACACTGTCTATGAGATGCTCCACACAGAGTCTGGCCCACTGTAAGTGTTCACGAAGTGCTCGAGGATGACGATGGTGTGTATAATCGTTCATCCTTGACGTCACCTGGGGAGTTGTGGATATCGTCACAGGCACACTCCCTTCCTGTGGGAATGGAGAAGAGAAGACCTCTGCCTCACAGATGGAAAGCCTGGTTTCTGAATGAGAAGATGCAGCACGGTGTAAGGGCTGGAGCAGAGGTTCAAATCCTCTCTCTGCCACATACTGTTGTGTGGTCTCGAGCAAGCAGATTGTAGACTTGTAAAATGTGACTACTAACACCTATGCCATACTGTTGGAGGACCACATAAGAAGTGTATAATTTAGTACATAACAATTCCCTTTCCTACCATCCTTCCCACCCTTCCTTCCACTGAGGATCAAAAATTAGGAATCCAGTCTTTCTATTTCCATGTCACATAACATAGAGAACTTGAGGGGGAGAAATCTTGGGTTGTTTAGCTTTCCTTTTGTTTCATTTTTTTGTGTATCCAGAAAGAGGTTCCATTTCTTGCCAATCCTACTCCAGTTAGGAGACCTTCTCAAAGCTAAATGGATGAAGGGGCAGGACGTTGGCTTCCTATTGATTCTTTTTGTGGGCCACTCTCTGAGGTTGGTCCAGTTCTGGGTTGGTCCAGTTCTGGTGCCCTTGCTTCCTTCAAGGAGAGTTAAAAGTGAGCCCCTGGTAGCAGAACCCCTGAATCTGGCAATGGTAAGGAGACAGTGACAAAGCTGACCATACTGAGGGCAAAGGGACGACCCTGGGACAGCCCGGGCTGGGCTTTACGTTGATGATATCATCTCCTGCAGAGGCACGGGCCCACAGGCCACCCGCCGCAGGCAGACAGTCCTAGCAAACGAGCCCTGAGAGGTTAGAAGAAGAAAGGGGCTCAGAGGCCAGCTTTCTCTATGCATTCATTATTATTATGTAATAACAGCTAACTTTTAGTGGACTCTTACAGTGTGAGAGCTACTGTGCTCTCATTTAATCCCTTCACAGCCCTGTGACATAAATGATATGACCCCTACTTTACAGATGGGCAAACGGAGGCTTAAGAAACGTTAAAGTTAACCTCCTCAGCTAGCTGGTGACAAACCCTGGATTCAAACCCAAGACTGTGTGACTCCAACACTCATGCTCTTAAGCCTCAAAATGTCCATGGTTCATCAGCAAATACTGGTTTGAAGGCATATGTAGACTAGGCACTCAGGGCTCATGTATGACATGGACAGAAGATGTGTCCCAGAAGTGATATTTACAAGCCTAAATGGGAGTGAGAAACAGGGAATCACACGAACATTCCTGCAAACTTAGACCCACACATTCTCCCGGTGCACAGGAAGACCTTTGTGCCCTAAACCCTCAAGAATCTTTTGTGTAACGTGTCTCCCCAACACTGCCCCAGAGCATCCTATAGACTCACCACAAGTTCAGAGCTGGTCTGGAATGTCTCAATATAGAAGGAATAGTGCTGGTCACCCATCTGGTTTAAGATGGCTGTCATACATGCCACAAAGTGACTCTGCAAGAAATAAAGAAAAATGCCGTGAAACAGTGGAGAGAGGACCATGAGATTCACCTTCTTCAGTTACTTGACTTCAGACCAGAAAACACCTCTCTATCCCAGGTGAGTATAAAAAGGTCCCCCAGGGATGGAGAATTTCTCCTTAGCAGATGAGCATGTGAAATTTCCCTAAGAGTAAATGTCTCCTTATGGCTCATTCATCAGCTCATTCATCCAAAAAGCATTTATTGAGCACCTATTACATGACTAGGACTATAATAGGAGCTCCAGATACAGACAATAAGGGCCCTATTCTTTATCTCTCCAGCTGCTTGTACATTGGGAAAAGAGCACTGTATTAATGTCAGGAGATCCAGCGTGTATCAAGATTCTGGAGACAGTTTGATTTTCTGGTAAATAATTTTACATGTCTAATCTCCAACTGTTCCATCTGTAGAGTGGGACAATAATCCATCTGTATCTACCCTGAGAGGTGTATCAGAAGGATCAAATGGCTCCTATGGTGCCCTGAATACACTGAGGTTCCCTACAAGAGCATCAATTGTTGGACCATGAATCAGTCAGTGAGAAGCCAGCAGCTACCAGGGACAAGTACTTGCTAAGGGCCATAAAAGAAATGAGAGGAGGTAGTCCTTGCTCTCAGGAGTTCATGATCTAGTTGGGAAAGCAAGATTAACAACCATGAGGAAAAAAGCACAAGACTTTGATGAGCGAAGCAGATCGAGTGCCAGAGGGATTCAGACAAGAGAGAAATCAACGCAAGGACTTGGAGAGGAAGTGGGTCTGAAAGGATCCGCGGGATCAGAGGAGCAAGAACCACATCCTTTCGTGCACCAGAAGACATCACCACACCCTTTTCTGCTTTTTCTCTCCCAGATTTTATAACTCTGTACCAGGGTGGCGCTTTCTGGCAGGGCTAGTGTCTGAAGGCAGAATTTAGAGAGATCTACTCTGGGAACCTCGTAAACGAAGTACTGACCATAAAGCCACCAGCTGGGAGAAGCCACTCAAGAGTGTCTCCCACAAGACTCCACTGGGCTGCATTCTCAACCAAAGGAAGTCCCACTGTCAAGGGCAGGCCTGTGGAAGCTTGGGCAGCTTGGCGTGATGCAGGTGTCTCCAGGAAACCCCACTTCTAAAGGGTGTCAGACGTAACACACACCAGAGAGGTGGGCCTGGACGTGTTATGTTTGAACCAAGTATTATATTTGTATCACAAACTGCTGTCTTTGTTAAAAAAAAATAAAACTAAAAGACCAAAAAAATATAGCGTGAAAAAAAAAAATCCTCCCGTATTACAGGGTTACAGTTCAGTGACAGTGGTGGAAGGAACAGCCTTGATGTCTCCAGGAAGCTCCTTCTGAATTCCTCCACAGGAAGTCTTTTGGGTAATTGAATGTTCTTCAAGTTCACATCCCCAAAAGTAACTCCCAAAGATACAGATTCTCATTTGCTTCTAGGTTCTTTTCAATTAGGACTTTAGGGATAAAATGCTTTCCCAGTCAGCAGGACCAGCTGTGCAATCTGTGGGGCTCAGAACAAAATGAAAATTGAAGAGTCCTTGTAAAAATTCTTCAGATTTTCAAGACAGCCACAGGGTCCTTCTGAGCACTGGACCAGGTCACACGCCTGGGAAGCCAGCTTTGCCTGCAAGTGACCACCACACGCATGCACCATAAATGTTCAGAAAACATGCAGAGGTGGCAGGGGGCACAAAACTGGGACTCTCAGGGGTAACGTCAATGACACTATGTTGCTGGGGACCTGGAACCTCTATATGGGGGCCAACCGCCTTGGCCGTCCAGGGAGTCAAATCTTCTCTCCGGCTCACGGCCTCAGGGGGTGATGATGAGTCTGTGAAATTATCCGTCCCTTTCAAACCAGACAGAATGCCACCATCACTGCTAATTTAACCAGGTCCCACTGAAACCAAGAAACAAGCATATTATTTTTTATCCCTCCATCCAGGCTGGACGCAAGAGGGGAGAAATCTTCTGAATTTGTGTGTGTGTGCGTGAAAGAGAGAGAGAGAGCACACACACACACACGCGTGTGTCTCCTCTACTCCCTCCATCTCTTCTGTGAGGGGCTTCCTCCAAGAATTCAGCCGGTGGCCACTAGAGGTCTTTCCTTTTCACATGGTAGCTGCCGTGCAGTTTTTCCGGCTTTTTATTTATTCCTACGTGAGCAGACCCACTACACTTCTTGCATATAAACAGTGAAAATTACAATATAAAGGACTTATTATTTCTCCTTTTGGAGTAATTCTGCTGCTGGCCAAAGCCTGGCTCATTTTGCAAAGAAAGGAAGGATATTCTCTGCAGGTAATTCCACTGCTTCAAAAGGTAAGAGATCCGGGGAGGTTTTATTTTTTGTGATCGATCATCCTCTCAGAGGAAATGCTATCGTCTCTTGGACAACAGTTTACTTTTAAAGCTTTGGCTTAAATGAGTCCTGGGATTGTGAGCTTGTGTGTGTGTGTGTGTGTGTGTGTGTGTGTGTTGTAGCATCCACCATTGTCAGAACTGCAGGCTGCCCCAAACGCATAGATACAGATACGGAATGCTTGGTACTTCCAAAGGCTTGATTTGAATTTGAAGGGGGGAAAGCAAACAACAAACCTCAAAGCTCAAGTTGCCTGGAAATTACCTTGAAAAGGCTGCATTGTCTTAAGCCTTGTTTAGAGAAACTTCCATGCTTCATATTAAATGAAAATAAAAGGGGAAGGGGATTCCAAGTGCCCATCTAGAGAGAGTGACCATTTTACGAAAGAAACCATTATCCTTTTATAAGGACTTGCTCAGGGTGTACAGTTCATCGATCAATCAAAATTACTTTTACCAGCTTGTTCATTTCTTCGTTCTAACTGCCCCATAGAAAATCCCAGCTGAGTGCCTTCCAGTACGATCTGTAGTGTGATGTTTGTGTAGTTTGAAGTTTGGACGAGTTACCTGCATTTGGCTGTTAATGAGAAATGACAGTGCTTTACTTCCCACTGGAAGCTTCCCTTTTTGTCTGCTATGGTGTCTAGCCCACTTTAGTATCAAATCTGTCAGCAATCGCACCAATGTGACTGACTGATTTCTGAAATAGCATGATATACCAGCAGCAGGTTCGAATTCAGTAAAGGCTCCACTCTGTCATTTAAATTAAAAACCAAAAACCCCTCTCTGTCATACAATGATAGAATGGTGGAATCACATTGTGTTTCTCTGACGTTTATCCCTTTTTCAGTAGCGTCTTCAGCACGGCAATCCACCTCTTTGCTTCCTGCCCCTTTTCCCTTTTACAAGTTTGAGACCTTCTACATCCACCATGTCTTAAGTGTTTAGAAAGAGCTGTAGGGATTGGGAGTGGGGGTGATGAACAGACTGCACTTGCCCTAGCAACTCAGACACTCCTGTTGTTGACATGGCTCAAACTTTACAGTGTCGGACCCAAAACTCCCAGCCCTGTCAGCAACGTGGAAAAGCCTGAATACTGCATGGGGGACAGAGGGCTAGAGGGATCTCTTGCAATTCAGGCTAGTGAGAATGCCCTGCCTTCCATCCTTGGTGGAAATTTTGTGGTCAGCATATATTTACTACCAAGGCGTGAGGCAGCCACTCATCCATACCCAAGCAGCATTCCAGGTGCCCGGAAAGGAAATTGCTTCTTAAAACAGAATACCGGGGGGGACCTGCATATTAAATTCCGGAGAGAAACTATCTGAGATGCTGTCACAAACCAGGCAGAGTCACGTCGGCTCCATGTGATCGGGGTGGTTTAAAATGTAGCTAATGAATCACAGCACGAAGAGACATGGTTTGAAACTAGGTCAAACGTGTAAAAATAAATGCAATCGTCGCAGGCACTTGGCTGATGAGGGGCTACTTAACGCCTGCAGTGGCAGGGCTTATTTGCCACATAGAACCCTCTTCAGTGATCCACGACAATCAATTGATCTGGACAATTCAGCCCGTCAGTATGTAGGGAGCCCTTGCACACCTGGGAGAGAGCTGAAGCTCCAAAGGAAAACAATCAGGGTCTCTTCACTGTGTGATGGCAAGAGAGGAAAAAGAGAAACCCGCTATTGTGTCATTAATATTAATTAGCTGGGATACTGGCTGACTGCGGTCAGGAGAGTAGCCCTCTCCAAATCAATCTACTCCTTTGCATAAAAAACCATCGTCATCTTATTGATAAGGCCAATAGCTTTGGTGCACAACACTCAAACATATCTATTTAGCCACCTCTAAAGCAAACACACCTACACACACGGTCAGGACCCTGCAGTGCTGAGTGAACCGGGAAGAGGTGATCAGTTTGCCCTGCCTTGAAGAGCTAACCAAACAAGGGGAGAGGGGCATGGTTGCTGCAATGCGTCCCCCACTCCGCTCACCTGAGATCAGTGGGAGTGATGAGATCGCAGAGGGAGGGAAAGAGCCGACTTCGGGAGCTTGCTACCTAAATGCCAGCATTACTATGCGATGCCAGCTGGTGACACGTTGCCATAGTAACTTCAAATAATGTGCTCGACCAAAATAAAATAAAATACAGAGAGCGCCAAGGAGAGGAGATGAGCGAGGAAACTTTGCATGCCGAGGGAGATGAGAAGTTTTATCTGTGGGGCCATCCAATTCCTTTGAAGACTAAGAGTAGCCTAATGCCCCTCTCAGGTTGCTTTTCCATTCACCCCCATGTCTGCCATGCGGTTATATAACAGATTTTACTCTTGGATGGAATTGGTGCTGTCTTTGTGACAGATCCAGGACCGGAGGTAGGAGGCTATGGTGTGAGGAATTCAGGGACCCTAAAACCCGTTCATCTTAGAGCTTTGTCAGGAAGCTCAGAGTTGTAGTTTGCAGCAATCTTTGGGGAAAGTAGTGTGTGTGGTATCTCAAGTTCTGGGCACTGTGCTAGGTGCCCGGGTGCAGCAGTGAGCCGGGTGGATAAGGTTGTACTCCAAAGAAGCAACGTCAGGTGGAGACCTAGGAGCCGGACAGCCTGAGTTCAAATCTCAGCTCTACCTCTTACTAGGCATGTGACCTTGGGCAGTGTTTCTTGTGCCTCAGAGTAAAAGGGAATAGAAATAGTTCTTACTGCGTACAGTTTTAGTGAGAATTAAATCAATTTGTAGAGAGCACTTAGAACATAGAAAACCCTCAATATGATCAGCTATCAGTGTTATTGTTGCTGTCGCTGACTCTGGTCCAGAGAAACTATGCAGATTGGCTAACTGAAATTCCTGACCTGGACAGAGGATATGATGACCCCACCTACCCTTGACCGTCTGTGGATGCATCAAGCACTCCCAATCACAGCTTCGGACAAAGAGCTAAGTGTCCTTTGACTCTGAACGTGCCTTTGGTTAACAACACGCCCCAAATAAAGCTGTTTAGTAAACCGCGTGTGTGCCTCTTCGAGCGGGGCATGTTTGGAGGTTTCTTTTATTTGGGGACAGTTGCTGGCAGGTAGGATGAATGACAACGGTGCCCAGATTGTTCAAAAGCCTGAAATGTAACTGTCTTCATCGAAAGCTTAGTCTTCCGGCTGTTTGGCTTTAGGAAGTGCCTGTCTTTGTGTGCAGTGACATTCTTTGGTTACCCAGGGATCCTGCTGTATGACAGAGTATAAACCAAGTCACCTTCCTTCAGGGAGAAGCTTCTTTATGGGCACAGATCCAGGGGTTCTGTGTAGCCTGATCCATGTCAAAGCATAACATCACAGGAAGACGGGAATGTGCCTCTTGGATGCTATGTACTCTGGATGCACCTAGACATGTTCCATCTGTACAACACAGCAACTCTTTAGAGTTAGCTGTGTGTACCACTACCTGGCACTGTGGGCATTAATGATCAGCTCTCCAGCATCACTAGGGCCAGAACCGCAGGCAAGGCGTCTCCTCAGAGAGCTATTCTCACTATCAAAGAGCGGGGTGGGGGGGTGGGGGGGTGGGGGGGTTGGTAACAAGGCTGCTTTGAACCCAGGCTGGAAGGCGAGACTAAAGTGGCCACACACTCTTCCTTTGAAACGAACACTTTCTGATCTTGGCTGGAGCCTGTGCATGTGGCTTTGTAGTGTGGGGTCACTTTAAACCTTCCAAAGGACACAATGAGGTGTTTAATCGCAAAGGGATGTGGAAGGCAAGCAAATTCTGTTCAATCATTCCTTGTGCTTAGGACTCCACCTTTATCATCTCACTGAGTCCTCTCAACAACCTCATTAGGTCAACTTTATGCCCATTTCACAGATGAGGAAAGTGAGATGCATAGAGGCCAAGCAGCTTGCCTAGACAGACATTTAGTATATGGTGGGGCAGGAATTAGAATCTGGGTCTTTCTGACTCGAAAACCTGTGTTCCTTTCATAAATCCATGATGTCTCTCATGTCAGCACTGTCAGCTCCACCTGGGCAGAGATTTTTGTCCTTTATTCATGCTGTATCACCAGAATCTGGAATTGAACTTGCACATAGTATGAGCTCAATAAATATTTTTTAGATGACAGATTGAACTTCTTATAGTATTCCCCATCTTTAAAAGAATGTTACAGGGACCACTCCCCCAAACACTGAAAAGTTAGGGTCATGTGTAGAACACCTTTGCCTTAGGAGAGGACAGAAATGAAAGAATTTTTGTTCTACTTCTGAGCTTACTCCATCTTAAGTTATATTTGATCAAGCCAGAGTGAGATCATTCTTTCACACATGCCTTAATGTAACAAATATTTCTTGAGCACCTACTATGTTCCAGGCATGGTTCTAGGTGCTCTGGACAGTCATGAATGAGATTAACAAGGGATTTGTTCTTAAGGAACTCACACCCTCATTAGGGCCAGGGACGGGGAAACACCATAAGCAAGTGAATACATAAATAAGATCATTTTAGGCAGTGATATCTGCTACTAGTGGAATATTACAGAGCAATGAGGTTGAGATGGGAGGAGACCGGTTTTTAATAGGGGAGACAGAGGTGGCCTCTTAGAGGGCTGATATTTGGGTGGAGATCTAATGGTGAGAGTTGGTCATGCAAAAATCTGGCAGAAGAGCACTCCAGGGCAATTGAGTAGCAGATACAAAGGCCCTGAGGTCAGATGCGCTTGGCGTGCTGGAGGATCGAAAAGAGGGTACAAAATGAGGAAAAGCACATATAAGATGAGGTCGGAGAGACAGGTTGGGACCAGATCCTGAAGGCCCTCGAAGGTCAGGGCAAGGGTTTAGGTTTACTTCCAAGTGCAAAGGGAGGCCATTAATTTGGGTTTTAAGAAGCTCGCTCTGGCTGCTGTGTGTTTCAAGAACCCCTCTTTAAAGAGGCGGTTTCCATGTCTTACCACCCTTCTCCAAGTCATTACACTGGAGTTGTTCC